TCTCTTTTCACTACACTCGATTCCAGAAGACAGAAAAAAATATATATATTATAATTAAAAAAATAATAATAATAAGCTGAGGAACCTTGGGAACAGAGAGTCTGATGTTAAACCTTAGACAGAATCTCTCGACAACAATGTCAGAAAATTAAATAAAGTGAAAAATATAAAGTAAAAAAATAATAATTTTAAAATCTTTTGAATTTTAAGTAAAACAAATATAAATCTGAATAATTAGAATATAGTTATTAAAGTTATTAAAGAACAAGATGGCTAGCATGCTGAGCTCCGAAATTCTTCTGATGATTTTGTTTGTTTGTTCTGTTTTGACATTCTTCTTCTATAAGTTTTACCAGAGACAAACTCCTTAACATTAAGCAATACATCCCAGACAATATTTTTCCAGTTTTTGATTATTCGGACGTTTTGTTGGGACATTCTAGTCGTAGGTACAGCTGTGTTGTTCAAACGCACGAGCAGACGCAGGAGAGGGAATCGCGCCGGCACCCTGGTTAAGCTCCGCACACGTGGCATTCAAACTGCGCTCCCAAGCACTCATCTCGCGAATGTCCATTCCCTGCTTAACAAAACGGATGAACTTCTTCTCCTTACCTGCACCAACAAGGACTTTTCAAACTCTGTTGCACTGTGCTTCACTGAAACCTGGCTGAGTGAAGCCATTCCGGATAATGCGCTTCATCTGCCAGGCTACCAGCTGTTCAAAGCGGATCGCATCGCAAGGTTAACAGGGAAAACAAGAGGTGGTGGATTGTGTTTCTACATCAACGAAAGTTGGTGTTCAGATGTAACAATGCAGAAAAAGGTATGCTATCCTAACTCAGAGGCACTCTTCATAAACTGTAAACCTTTCTACTTGCCGCGGGAGTTCTCCTCTTTCATTCTGGTGAATGTGTACGTTCCTCCGGACACGTGCATGAGCGCCGTGATGCAACAGCTGGCCGAACAAATAACTGAAATGGAGCAAAGGTACCCAGACTCTCCTTTAATCATTCTTGGAGATTTTAACAAATCAAATTTCTCCCGTGAACTGCCAAAATACAAGCAGCACATTACATGTCCCACCAGAGACAGTAATATATTGGATCACTGTTACACCACAATAAAAGATGCATATCACTTTGTCCCACTGGCAGCTTTGGGGCTCTCTGATCACCGTTTGGTTCATCTTATACCGACCTACAGGCAGAAACTGATATCAGCTAAACCTGTTTTAAGGACTGTTAAAAGATGGACTAATGAAGCACAGAGGGATTTACAAGCCTGTTTCGACCTCACTGATTGGAGTGTTTTTAAATCTGCAGCCACCGATCTGGATGAGCTCACAGAGACTGCAACTTCATATATCAGTTTCTGTGAGGATATGTGCATCCCCACCAGGACCTTCTTATCATTTAATAATGATAAACCGTGATTTACTGGGAAATTCAAACAGCTTTGTCACGCCAAAGAGGATGCTTACAGAAGTGGAGATAAAATATTGTATAACCAGGCCAGGAACAGACTAACAAAGGAGATCAGAGTGGCTAAAAAAACTACTCTAAAAAGCTGAGAAAACAGTTTTCAGCCAATGATCCGGCGTCAATATGGACTGGTCTCAAGAACATCACCTTGTACAAGACACCACCCCCACAGTCTGTGGAGAATCAACAACTGGCTGATGATCTGAATACGTTTTACTGTCGATTTGAAAAGGCCAGTCTACCACCCCCCATCCGCTCTGATCTGCACTTCACACATTCACCTACCCTCCCACTGCAACCCACCTCTCTCCCTCCCTCCCCCACCATTCAACCTGCGCTTAAGGTCTGTGTAGAGGATGTGAACCGGGTCTTAAGGAAGCAGAAATCTAAGAAAACTTCAGGCCCAGATGGTGTTTCACCTGCCTGTTTAAAAGTCTGTGCTGACCAACTGGCCCCCATCTTCACACAGATCTCTGGAGCTGTGTGAAGTTCCCTGCTGCTTCAAACACTCCACCATCATTCCGGTCCCCAAAAATCCCAAAATCACTGGACTTAACGACTACAGACCTGTCGCTCTCATGTCTGTGGTCATGAAGTCATTTGAGCGACTGGTCCTGGCCTACCTGAAGGACATCACTAGACCCTTGCTGGATCCTCTTCAGTTTGCCTACAGAGCAAA